TCGTAGAAGATGAAATATCTTCGCAGCAAATCATTTGTATTTTCTTTAAGAGAAATACATGATTTTCAAGACTCACCCAAAGATTTAATGACTCATATTCATTTCATGCTAAAAGGGAACTTGCAGTAAAGGACCACAGATCCCAGGTACAATGTATCTAACTGGATCTCAAAATCTTGTGATAGTGTAATTGGATTCCATTACTCTCACTTTCAAAACCTGGACTACTGTAAATAACTGCTAGTTAGTGCAAACAACCTCGTATTACTTCTATTGAATATACATAGTATGTGTGATGGTGCCGAGCTATTATGTGGGTCTTTATTAATATGACCTTGGTTTTATGTGACTCTCACTAAAAGAAATGACATGATGGAACTGGATGAATGGACTGACCTTGATTATAGGCAAACACTCTGCTTTTCACAGAAAGTTCTACCATGTGGACAAATAGACAATTGTCGGAGCATGCATGCGGTTTGATTCATATGCATGTGAGGATTTCAGACCAAGAAGCTGTTTGAACTTTTCAGTTTTTTCCAGTTCAGTAGAGAAATAACTGGATTCCGAGACTGACACTAAAGGAATGTGAAAAGGCTGCAGGAATACTGAGTGCCAAACTGTCATCATGTAAATCTGAAAGATTACACAATCTGCCTGCAGACAGTGTGACAGGGCTTGTTTTGCTTGCCTTTAGAAGACATATTCATGACTGATCTCATTGCTGTTTTGACTAGGACTGCAGCTTCAGTCATCAGATGCACACCTTCACACAAAGGGCAGTGTATGGGAATAGTGCCTGCAAGGTATGAGCTTTCTGGTAATATTTTTGAAAACTTTTCCAATGGCACCACATAAGCATCTTGGAAATTTGCAATAAAGATTTGTTTAAAGATTAGTAAAAAGAGTGTTTATAATCAATTAACTGGATTTCTGAACAATGGTGCATTGCTATCTGTCCTCTAATTAATTCATATGCAAACTAAAAACTAAAACCCTATAATTGTTTTAAACAAATCTATACAGAGATCAGAAATGTATGAAAACAAAGCTGTTTAAAAATAAAATTTAAATTATGTATCACTTACCTTAAATCCTGCATTGAGCTTAATTTCTAGTTTGAGAATTTAGTGGGATAACCAATGGTCTAAAACAATGGACAACAGAGCGCACATACAGTGACAAAGAAGGACAAAATACATTACCTGAAAATTGCAGCCTACATGTCAATCAGGTGAGGTGGTACAATCAATCTACACACCTCACATTTCTATTTGATAATTAAAACACTGTTTTCAGTCTGATGTTTTGTCTAAATAAACTTTTTTATTTTTCTAAGGTGTGTTTAAGATGCAAATTGCTAATCTAACATCTAACGAAAAAGGACATTCAAATATACTTTTGCAGTACATATCATGGCAAAAACACTTCATCAGTTCAAGCTGAAGCCTGGATTTGTGAAAGAGTAACTTTGTAATAGTTCTGCCTTCAGTGGAATTGAGGATGGGCTGCCACATGTTCTGAAGAGACGATGGCTTGAGCAACTTCACCTCTCTGTAGAGAAAACAAGTTAAAAAACTAAACTTGTTAAAGAAAAATCTACAAAATATACATAAACCATTTGTTCAGATGCAGTACCCCTTTGGATGTTAATGTCGGTATGTTAAGAATTAAATTAGAAAAAAACATTTTATTTAGTGGAGTAAACAAACCAGCCAGAAAAATTCAGAAACTAATTACAGTATATGCATTCTTTTCATTCACTTACACCAGTACACAAACAATTACATTTTCTCTTGCCGCGTGTGACTTATATACGATATGGGGTAATAAAATTTAAAGGCTGGTTTATAAATGTACGCTTTTAGGTGTATGCCAATCAGCTTTTTTAAATTAAGAAATTAAATCCACAGACAAAGTTAACTTGACTTCCTACTGAAATGCTGTAGCATAAAATTAAAATCTGCAATACGCTTGCAATTACCAGGAAACCTAGCCACATCCTACTCTTTATCAGAATCAGGCTAAAATAGATTCCACTGCTATTGCAATAGGCCCAAGACTTCTCAGTATCAGCATAGGGATCAGCCCCTGGAAATGCTTACGGCCCTTCAACAGTGAGGAGCAAAGAAACAGAAAGAGAAAATGTGATCTGACCCCAGCCCAGTTGATACTTCCCCCAGAAGATCTGAGTGCGTCCCACAGGCACAGCTGCTCTCTGCTCTATTTTAATACTGCCCCCAAATCAGCGTTTTTGGGTGGCACCAGTGGGTCCTCAATTAGCTCTCGTTCTTGTCTGAGCTGGCATAGGGCAAGCTGTCTCGCCAGTCAGCACTTCTGGGGGATAGACACACCATCTGGCCGCCCCTGCTACAGAAATAACAGGCCCGTAGTGAGCATTCCAGCGCAAGATAGGTGTCTGGAGGGTACAGTCAGGGTCCAGAGAGCTGTCTTTCCTGACCGCTTACAGTGCTAACCCTTCTACACAAGTTTGTGGAATGACAGGCATCTCAATCTGCAAGTATCCCCACCTTTTACCTCAGAGAAATCCACTTTCCGCATTTTATATAATATTTTGCTGTATTATTTTAATACAAGGGGGAAATACAGGAACAGAACCCCAGAGAAGATGGAGGTCAAAACTTTTTTTTTTCTTTCAAAATATGATACCTGGAAGCTTAAAAGTCAAGAAAGTCTTTAATTCCATAAATTTTATTCTGGGCAAGACCCACGGGAATATTAAGTTAGTGTTGTCTCGATCATCACCAAATATCTATTGGCATATGCTCCTTAACATGCAGCTCTGATTGTCTTTTAATTCACAGTGAACTGAAGTTCAAGCTCCTACACACCAGGTTTCTTTCCTTAACAATATATTGAATGAGATATTTGAAATGTACTTAGAGTGACGTGAAAAATGTTTCTCTTCAGTGAGGAAAACAATCACTACAAAATCTCCCATCCCCCATCTCCACAAAAAAAAAAGTGTCTCTTTTTTCAAATTAAATTTATGCTGGTTAAAAGTCTGGACTCCAGTTTATTATCTTTGTCTTACATCTCCTGTTTTTTTTTGTATCCTTTTATTTTTGCTGGGAATTTGATTAAAGTGTGTTGAAAACCATCCCTTGCCATGTTTCCATTTTAAAATGGCTTGGGGGCCGGGCTGGGGGGGGTCACTTCTGTTAATTCAAGATTTAGTACAGCTCCCGAAACTCAGAGAGAACTGCCAATCACTACAAAACCTGCAGAGCCAATATTGTGATTGACAGCACATGTGGGTCTTTTTTTGATGTAGAGTGAAGTCAATTATGTTAATTATCAAACAGATTAGGATTCAGTGGTCTATGATAGTTGGATAAAGATGAATATAACACTGAAATTAGTCCAATAATGAAGGCTGATTCACTGTACGTCCACGTTTGTCATACTCCAGTATGACATACTTCATAGCTTCTTAATCAGGCTTGCTAGAATTGTATCCATCAGGGTCCTTTCCAGCTGAATATTTTCTCCAATGTGGCAAAAGGCAGAAGCTGTGGTGGAGGAAAGGGAGCAGGTGGTCATCAGGAGGTCATTCTTGCCGTCTGCCATAAGACTGTACAACGCATCCACCTTGCGTCTTGGCAGAGGCAACAGCGACAGTGACCTGTTTCTGGACTAAACGCATATACACATCTACTGCTACATCTGTTCTCTTTCTTTTTCTTTTTCTTTTTCCCGTTTACAACCACTTTTGTGCAATATATGCCAGGGACCTGTGCAATACATTTATATTTTTATTTATATCTATGGTTACATCTATATTTATATTCATAGGTGTGATACGATTTTCTGTGTACTGTTCTGTTCTAGTTTCCTCGTGTGTCCAGACTGTGAGTAACTCTTGTATTGTATGTATTGTACTATTATTATATAATTCGTTACACTGTGGGTGTGTTGTGTGTGTCAAGCTGCTGTTGCACTGCAATTTCCCTCACGGGATCAATAAAGTATCTATCTATCAGTCATACTTTGCACAAGGAAGAGTTATTTTTTTTTAATGAAGGCACAAAAATAAAATGAAAAAGTAAAGTTGCCTGCCGAGCGTCACAGAAATGACCGTGAAGTACCCTGTGCTGAACCCAAAAAAAGAAATTGAATACTGTAAAAGTCTGGATTTTCCTAAGCGATGCGAATTGTCTGACACAGTTTCGAAAATGAGACTTCACACCCAGGCCTTCAGGAGCAGCGGTGCAGTTTCCCACAGAGCTGGGAAAAAATGGGCTACAGTATGTGCTGCCAGCAGACCGCTCTCTCTTCCCCTTCACATGTGCCTTCTGTTTGAAAACTCTTCAGGGACAGCAGCAATTATTGCCTCAGTCCTTCAAAAGCCTGAAAGAGTGTGGCAACTAGTTGCTGAGTGCATATATTTGCAGACCAGGCAGGCAGTGCCATTTTCTGTATTCAGATTAAAGAGCAGCCAGACCATAACCAAGCTTAACTTATCTTATTTAACTTATTTTCCCTTTTGAAATAAGAAGGTGTCTGCTTCTGCTTATTTCTGCTTATGTTGACTGACACAGAATTAAGTGGCAAGCAAGTCACCCAAAAATATGAGGACATCCATTTTTATTTCAGTGCTTTTAACAGAGATTTGCATGATTATTTTGCTATTTTTTATGGTCACCAACTTGCTTATGAAAGTGATTGTACGGTACATCCCTGCCCTGTTTGAAAACATTTTAAACTTCCTTTTATTTGGGAATTAGGACAAATACCAAAAAAGGCTCTTAAGGTGAAAGAGTAAGCAACAACATGTTCAGAAAACACAATATGTGCATAACACCAAACAAAACCAGTCACATTATCCAAGTGGTGTCTGCACGTTGGTGGTGGTGGAGGAGAGTCTCCATTACATGAGAAGAGCTTTGAGTGAAGTGTCCAGAACAGTGCTATATAAGGTAAGAAATTATTATAATTATGGGGATTAGGGAATTGAAAAAGGCAGAAAACAAGATCAATCAGACCCTTTGAAGACTTTTATTGAAATGCCAATTAAAACCTAGAAGTAAAAGCTACTTCCATTCATTTCAGACCAAAATAATTCAAACCCTTTCACATTTCAAACAATTCAACAGGTAAGGCTCTTTAAAAGGTCCCCTGAACTTTCAGCTCACTGTGAATGTGAAGGTAGAGGCAGTCCACAAACACAAAGAAGAAAAGTATTATGCATCCTACCATCCAAGATGCTGTCAAAACGTTTATGTAATTGATTGCTTATGAAAGCCTCCAGTTTCATGCAACAACCAAGATTTATTCAATTGTGTACAGAGGTCTTCACTTTGGTCAGATAAAGATTAATTCATCTCAGTTCTGACTCATATTGTGATAATACAATAATAATACAAGGACAGTTCACAGCTATATTTCAGTTCCACTGGACCACACTTTAACTTCTATACAGAGTTAATGACCAGTTCAAATCTGGCTTTGTTAAAAAACAGAATATCTTTCGACTCACTGAACATGTGTATGGATTCTATCGCAATGCTTTCAGAAACATACCTAAATGGAACATTTCTCAAAATAAAATTAAAACAAATGGATACAGACTGATGATGCATTGTGAAAATAACATTTTAATATAAAATAACTGCAAAACTATAGTGCTGTCAATATGAAATCATTCTATGTCCAGCTCATTTGCTGCTGTGGTAGGCTCAGTGTTGCTGTGAACCTTATCAAGATTAAGAGATTCTTCTGATAATGGATGGATGTTTTTAAATACATTTTAAAATACATTTGAACAGCCCAGTGAGCTGTAGGTCAGGGGATTTTCACATCCAAAGGAAAAACGGCTTCTAACAAGCACATAAATGTAACCCTCATATGCATACAGTATATGAATATTTTGACATTGTGATGTGATAATTTTTAAAGTTTCCAATTCTTGTCTTTCCCTTGTGTGTTGTAATGTAAGCAGATTAGTCTGTTACACACAATTCAAACACACAGGGAGCACTATGGTACTGTACAGTAGTTGCTATATTTGGAAATTCGTAATCGTCCTTTTAGCCTGACTGAAATATTCTTCAGAAACTGCTATTCTATTCTTCAGACCCATTTCTTATTTGCATTAACAACACAGTGATACTGAGGAAAGTGGAAGAGCGTATAAATCCACCTTCTCACAAAGATTTTCTAAAAAACCTCCCTGGTTTCCTGACAGAGGCACGGAAAAAGTTAAGAAAAATCAGAGGGCACTTGTAAAAAGCCTTACCAGGAGACATTCCTCATTTAGTGTTTTTTTTTAAATGGTGAGTAACTTAAAATATATACATTTATACACATGCTATATAAGTTGCACGTTCAATGTGTGTTTAGGATGTATATGAAAAGAATCAAAAAACATTTGTGATTTTCTCAACATTGAGTACAAACCTGCCAAGAAAGCTTGCCAGAAGAAATTGTTTCTACAAGTCGGCCCATCTGCATAGTCCAGCAAAAACACAAGATAAACCATAAATGTCCCTGTTCCTACACTAGCCACAGGTCAAACCCTTGTCATCCTATACTGTATATATAAATATATGTATTTACATACATCTTCTAAAAATAAATCCACCGTACTATATTAGCTACAAAGACTGAACAAATTATACTACACTGTACTGCAAAATAGCACATTGAAAGCAAAACACACAAAATAGTCATCATGTAATATATGAAATGGACCTATACCTCACCAGAAAGGGTTTTATAAATGAACCTTTTAAGTACACAGAATGTTATTTTCAAAAAAAAATTTTTTTTTAGTTTTGAAAGGGGTCTGAATAAATGTTAAGCAGAAATGTTGCATAACCTCGTACGAGCAGTGATATTTGACTTAGCTTACACTCAGTCTCTAGCATGCTTTAAAAAGAATAGGCACTGTGTTACAGACAAGTGCACAAAGCAAACAGAAAACGAAATCAGGTTTTAAGATAACTCATTGTGAAACAAGATGAATTACAACTAAAATACAAAACATACATAGAGAAAAAAAGCAAAATATACTGTATCTGAAAGGCAATGGCATTTTTAAGATGATACTTGTTGCTTTGCTTTGCGAAGACTTTTTGCTGAAACATAACAATGCACTCATGTTATCCTTATATGAGTAATAATTACTATATAAGCTAAAGGAGCAGGTCTGCGTGCCACAAAGGTAGAATCATTTCACTTTTGACAAATAACAGATTTGTACTGTATATAACTGCCAAGAACAGGAGAGATTTTTGCAAAGTACCTGAAGCAAAGGTCAATTATTTTTTTCTCTCTTTTTATCATTTTCCTTATTTGTGGAGGGAATAAATAAAAATGGGCATTAAAACAATCTGATATTTGTTTTTACATATTTTGATATGTGATTTGACTGATTGGAGTTTTTTACTTGGATTTTTATGGACACTTTGTGGCAGATAGGTTAGAAAAAAGGATAACACCCAAACTGTGCAGTAGTAATGACAGAGCAACATGTTAAATATGTCCTGTCTATATATATGTAGTTTTTGGATATATTTCTGATGTTGTGCAACAGTAATTGTGTGGACTGTGCATTTCTAATTTATTTCTTCCCACTGTTATGTGTCATTTGAAGTCCATCAACAATAAACAGGTTTCTAAAAGGGACTGAAATCAAAAGGCGTGAGGTAGGAAATCTGAAATGCTCCCAAAATCCCCTGGAATGGTGTTCTACTGTAAAACATATTTAATATTTATATATAGTACTTCCCCACTTCAAAACTCAGTGTTTTACTGGAATAGGATTTGGGAAATGCCAAATGTGATCGCAGAAAAATATTCGTAAAACTACTGATACTAGATGCATAAGAAGGAAAACCACAAAGAGAAGAATATAACATCATATAGTGGGAAAATGCATGGTTAAGCACAGCAGTTGTAAGATAAAGAACAAGCAAGTGCATCCCATCCAGATATCACAATACAAAATACAAAACGTTTTCAGATGAAAACTATGATAACACATACTGTAGTTAAAAAAAGCACAGAAAGGTGCATGGTAAAGGATTTAGTGAGGAATATCTCAAGCACATTTACAGAGAAACTTGCTTGTGCAAGCAAAATCATTTTAGGTTTACCCATTTATTGCTTTAATAACATACAGAGCGATTTGCATGCCCACTATACATAAAGTTTTTGAAGTCACAGTACTTTGGAAAAGCTTTGTCAAGAACTTTCCTTTATCCTACCTTAACTGAAAGCCGGTAAGAAAGGTGGATCTTAAGTCTACCTTTAAAAGCATTCACCCAAACTCCATTCTTTAAAATGTAAGGTCAGCAATGCAGCCTGCAGAACAGTGCTGCAAGACTTTTATATCAGATGGATATGCGGCAGGCAATTCACTGTAACAAATATTTCTGAATTCATTCTACACAAACAACATCTTAGCATAGGAGACTACATTTCTGAAGCTGTTACCTACAGTATGTGCTAAAGTACAGAAAAATAAGTCAAAAGGTGAGACAGGCGGATTTTATTGTTTTCTAGAACCAGTGGCAATCCGTGACCTTTTGCAGACTACAGACAATTGTTTCATATTTCAAAATTATGTTGCAGAAATGCATCTGCCATCCTTTTTTTAAATAGAGCAAAATGTAGAAAGATTTGCATAGCAAAAAGACATTACGTTCAAACCAATGGTTTGGCCACAATTGGGTAATACCTCCTGAAAGCTGTTTAGGAGATTACCAGTAGTCCAGTTAGACCTGCTCAATACAGTTTATAATGGGCAGTGATTCAACAAAAGGTTTATCTGTTTTAATTTCAGGACATTAAAAATAACACTATTAGCCTTCCCTTTTCATTAGTCCACTGTGCTAAAGATAATATCAGTGGGTTAGCAAAACTGGTGACACCAGTCTTAAACAATAAGAACATCCTTTGAGTGCTGGCAATGATATAATATTAAAATTAGTTCTATTAATTTCAATAAATGAAATTGTGCTACCTAGCTGTATATATAAAATTGAGAGTGCCAAAGTGGAACACCAATTAACAAGGAATCCACTAGCATACCTTCTGTAACTGTATGATCTCGGTCATACTATATTTGCAATAATGTGTATCAAGTTCAGAGATAAAGCATTAGCATCGCTGCAACAGCACAAAAGAGGAAAATCAACCCACTGCTGCTGATCACATTGCATCTGGAAATGGTTTTATCAGTGTTAGTTGACTGCAAAGTTTACACCAGGAAAAACAGAGCTCTCAGTTGCTCAAAAGAAGGGAAGTATCATTTGCGGACGACCAGAAAGCAGATAGATCTAGCGTGGTTTTAACATCCCTAAAACAGCTTTTTTAATGACATTGCTCAGTGAGGAAAAAGGGGCCTTACTGTAGACAGGAAGTAACTAAAACCTGTTTCAGCTCTGTGCAAAGTGGTACCAAGATACTGGACTGAAGACAGGGCTCTTCTCAAGCACCAAAAATGTGTCCCGTCAGACTGTTTACAGCTGCATCATAAAAAAAGCTATGAAGGTGTAAAAACATCGGGGTCCTGCACAGGCCACGGTGTTCAGGTGACAATGGAAGAGTGCTCTGTAACACTGAAATGCTCTCTGACTACCACAATCCCAATTTTCAAAGCAGATTGTGGTATTGAGGCATAAAATAGGGAGCAACAGGTTGTAAACTGGTTGCTACATATTAAAATATAATGAGCAGGTATGGCTTTACTAAAGAGCAATTCTCAAACAAAAATAAGTCACAAAACTCGACAAATATAAAGATTAAATTGGATAACATTTCTGCATGGCCTCACTTTTCCAACATTCGCAAAAAACAGCTAAATTAAGAGTAGACCAGAATGAAGAAGTGGTGTTTAAATGGGTTACTGACAGATGACTGATTCCACAAGTGTAATGGAAACAAAGGCGATAGCAGAATCCCAATTTTCAAAGCTAATTTTGTGTTATCATTTTTTACACACACTGTACGTGTACAGTAGGGATCATAGAAATCTGAAACACGCTAAAAATAAAATAAACCAATTCTCTGCCATTCTGGCAGCCAGTGCAAAGGACAAAGCCTTGTGCTAACTTGGTATGTTGGCGAAGTTTAGCTCCAGTTACACACCTGTGGGGAGGGGGAAGACAGTTCTACCAGGAAGCCCTTTGGAATAAGGAATTACAGCAGCTCAAGTGTACAAAAAAGGATGCTATTTTCTGCCTAAAAGCCACCTCTTGTCAAGCAAGTGCGGAGCAGCCTGAGAAGCAGCAGGTTAAATCATCTTGGCCTTTGAGCTAGAACACCTCATTTTGACTACAGAGACCCAAAGGAGGCCACTCCCCCACCCCTTCCACCATTTCCTCACTCCTCCCCCACTTCCTGTCTGGAGCTCTGAAGGCATGGTATATACAGCTTTGTGGTGTTGGAGACTGGAGGGACATTCTTAAAGAAGGTGCAGTTGCCTTTCCAGGGCTGAAAGGAAGAGAACACCGAGCAGGAGTGGGCTGGCACCGTGGGAGCATGCGGTTCCCTTGGCAGCTAACTTGGGTGTACGAAGAGTGGTAGTGCGCTGGGTGGTCTCCTCTCCTTTCTCCCTCCCTCGGGACGTCTCTCTGTCAGGCTGCTCACTCTTCTCCTTCTTGCCTGGAAGACAATAATGAGGATGGTCTACTGTTATATACATCTAGCCAGTTGGGTAGCTAATAGCTAATTGATTCAAGGGTCCTGTCTTGAAAGAAGCCAGAGTATCAAATGCTCTACAGCATTGAACAATCCAAGTAATACGGCTCATGAGAACATTACTTCAGACGTTTCTTCATTCTTTAGCCAATGTTACCTCAGAACAGTTGAAAATCATGTAATGGTGTTATAAAAAAAAGAAAAGTAATATAAAAATGTTTAAGATTAGATAAATCTTTAAATCTTCAAACACAAAGCACATTTCCCCCATATCCGATACATAAAAATATAATCTCACTTTTCTGAGTGCGCGTTTGGGTAAGGTTTCCTTATATCCTCTTCCTGGTGGTGTAGCAACTATTCCATTAGCCTTGAATTTCTCGATTAATGAAATTTCTGTCAAAACTGCATAATCTTAATGAAATTTTTATGGCAGTCACTAGAGTTGCTGAGATCAATAATCTTTTACATTAGACCTTCTGACAATTCTCTGATTTGCCCCATGATGAGAGGGCACTAAGTATTTTGCTTCTGTGATCAGCCTTTTTAAATACCCACTGGCAGTCAAGTTGACTTCCAAAAGTTTAGAAACATTCCAAGGTTTTGTGAAATTACTTGAGGGCTTAAAACATTAGACGATTAGGTTTACAGCATGTATTTAACATATTTACAGAGCATGAATAAATCTGAATTTTATTTACAGTACGAAGAAGTTTTAAAGTACTAAGTAATGCTTAACATCACTATTAATATATTCAGCATTTTTTTCATACAGCACATAATTGTCATATTTTACTCCATAAATATGGAAATATCTTGATGTGCACCTACATTTTCTTCATTTAACCAAGTTTTCAGTTCGGCACGAATACAATTAAAAGCTATTGTAAATGCTGTACGTTGCAAAGTACAGATTACAGTAAATGAAGAGAGGCATATGATGTTGTTCCAGGAATCAAGAACTGCAATCTCTTCGAAAAGACTACTTAAACACCCCAGGAAAATGTAACGTGGAATGTTACTTCAAGGTGGTGTACATTCAAAGACTAAAAAGTGTAATATTTCATTAGGGATACTAAAGTAATATACATACTGTATATTGAGTAAACTATAAAGGACTTCCAAAATATGATTGCATTTCAAGTAAATACAAGTACTATAGTTGTATAATGTCTTTTCATCTCCTGTACTATAGTTGTATAATGTCTTTTCATCTCCTGTACTATAGTTGTATAATGTCTTTTCATCTCCTGAATATGGCTAAGAGATGCAGCAAATAGTACCCACTAATGGTCAGTATGGGATATAGGATCAGAATTTGGTCAACCCTACAAAACAGCAACAGAAAGAGTAAGCTGCCTATCCAGGAGAGTGTCCACTGACTGAAGTTCAGATTGCCTTCAGGCAGGACTTGAACTGGCGACCCCAGATACATTTCTGCAGAGGAATGTGACTCATTCTCAAGTGCTGTGAGCCTTGGATGTTAAACCAGGGGGCATTTAATAGACAACCTTCAGAATGTCATTAAACTAAATTAGAAATAAATCACTATAATGGAGGCAGGCAGACAGAGTCCAAGCTTCACTTTCATAATGGTCAGTCTCTCCGGGCCTGCTAACTGCAGCCTCTCCCACCCCCTCCTTGCTGTGCTGAAGCAGCCTGCTGACTTCAGCTGTCTCACAGCTAGCCCACGCTGAATTAAGACCTCTTTCAGGTACCTTCATCCTTCTCTCTCTCCCCCCTCCCAGCCTCATCTTCTGCCTTGTCAGCCCGTCCGACACTCTAAATCAGCCAAATCGATCAGCTTTAACATGCTCCCCGGGCAGGAACTGAAACCATTCCACTGTCATCCAGAACAGTTCCCACTCATGGTGTCAGGCCTTGCTCACAATTTTCAGAATCCGGTCTGGGAGAGAAACTCAAGAACAGTCTAAATAACAAAAGCAAGGAACAAGGTTCGAGCACTAGGACCCCCATCGTGAGAAAAACTCACAGTATCGAGTACAGTGCCCATGATTTTAGTTGTTTTTAAATTAAAAAAAATCAAAAATGAAAAGGGCCTGAATAACCACACATTTCCTTCCAATTAAGACGTTTTTCTCTTTATCAGCCCTTAAATTAAGATTTAGCTGTGGAAAACTACCAGGATTTCTGATTCAATGCATTAAACAGCATGATTTTCTTGTGCACAGTCAGTGTTGAGCAGATTCTATAATACAAATAATGGAATGGATGGAGGCAAGCCAAGGAAGCAAAAGGAAAGAATGATCTGATACCCGTTTTGAATATTTGCAGAGCAATCAGCACACTTCTTTTCAAGTTAAATAGCACATAATGTGTCATTTCAAGCTTGATATTATAATTGGCTGTAATTATTTCTGTAGAGTGCTTACAACTGTGTCTAATGACAGTTTTTAGCAGAATTTCTCAAGTCAACCTGGGTAAGACATGATGCAGCGAGGTGTTAAAGTTAGCTCCTAAAGGGGTACAGTGTTCTTCCAACTGTGCTCTCACTTTCGTAATTGATCTAATTATCTGATTAATTTGAGAAATGTAACACTTTTTCCCAGGTCTCCTGATGTTTTGTAGGTGCCATACCCTTAATGAAAAGCAGCTTTTATAACTGCAAAAGACCTTGAATAAGACTTAAATGTGTCAAAAAATGTAAATGGCTGGGTTAATTAAGTACCCAAGAACTTAAAAGGTAAAGAATACCAGATTACGCCATACATACACTGGAGTATGACACTGTAGATTATTCTTTTTCATTTTGATGCATTAACCTGATGCATTAAACTACTATGGCGAAAATATAATACTGCTACGTACAGTCTAAAGCATAGATCTACTTTATCTAATGAAAACAATATATGAACAGGGTGGGATATGTTAAAATATATTTTTTTAAACAATGTTAACTATCCAGCCATTCATTTTATAACTGGTTTATCCAGTACATGGTCACAGAGGAACTGGAGCCTATCCCAGTAAGAAACAGGTGCACGACAGGATATACCCTGGACAGGACGCCAATCCATCACAGTGAAATTAACTAATTCACGATTTTTTTAGCACAAAAAAATACAATAGTTTGTTATGATGCAGCAGATATGTTAGATATACCACAATAATTCATTTAGAAAAAGTCGGTCTGGAATCTTTTAAGGCAAACAACACCTAACAATCTTCTGGTCCAAAATAATGGTCCATCCTTAAAGTAAATGAAATTGGAATTTCTTATTGTTTTTCATTTAAATGGTTTCCACCTCCACCTCCATTTAAATGGTTTCCACTTCCACCTCCCCTCCCCCAGTGGAGGAATCAGTTTTGCCGCAAAAGACCCTCATACAGTACCAGCACAGAAGGGGTGAGGAAAACGTACACTTTACTCCAAAATGAGTAAAGAGCCCATGTCACAGCCTCTACTAATCAGACACAAGCCCCTGATGCTTTACGCAAATGCACTAATCAGATACAAGCCCCTGCTATTTCCCACAAACACCAACACTCATCCTAATTGACCAACCACATCCCTCGTCCTGCACCACACCTCCCGGCAACCCACTACTTAAGGGCTGCTCACCTGCTCCTCCTCGCTCAGTATTGAGTTAATCCTCATAGAGCTCCCTTTGCCTGACAAATGCTCCGTCTTGAGACAACTACTAGACTCATGATTCCTCTTGACCATGAATATTGGCTATGTGACTTGGCTAAGTAGACCCAGCTTCTGCTCTCCACTTAATCTCTCTCTAACATCTTTTCCTAAGCACCGCATAGGGTCCAATCCCCTTTGCTGAGACTTCCAGTATTTTACAGCCCATCCTGTCCAAAGTGGATTTATCATCAATTGGATCAGGGGTTCCCAATCTTAGTCTTGGAGGCCCACACATCTGCTGGTTTGTCTTCAAGTCCAGCTCTCACTAAAACAATTTAACCCTTAATTGACTTTATAGGATTAATTTTGAACTGTGTCTGAATGTTTTAAGTTTCTAAACATGTTGGATGATGTCTTTTAACAATTGCATTTTATAAGTTAAATAAAATACCAAACATCTGAGGAGAAAAAAAAAACTTGCAAATATTACAATCAAGTTGTAGGTCAATCAAGGCTTCAATCATGGCTTTATTGACTGAATCAGATAATTCAGCTCGAATGGAATGAAGATTAGGCAGGATTGTAGGCCATTCATTAAGCTCTCACCAATAATACCAGGGGCTCACTAATGCTCAGCACTTCACAGGGGTCTCTGTTGCACAGGAAGTAGAACAGGTACTAATTTAGGCTTTCCTGGTCTTTGTGACCCGGGTGTCCGCTGGCCTGCTGTGTTTTTTTCATTTGAGTTTTTGATTAATTAATTGAACCTAGTGTTTAATAATTTACTAACTGCAATTTTCTGATTTGTTTTCGACTTTGCTGCTGTAAGATAACTTACAATTTAACCATAACAATACATAACTGGAAGTCTATGATTTCTTTTTAAGCACACAATGGAAAAAGTCTAATCAACAGTAATTTTAGTACAATTACATATTCAAATATGCTTATTTGAACGTGTCTGTCTGAATTGCATCAGGATTTGGACGTCTTGCAGTAGGGGAGTTACATGTCACCACCTGGGAATTCTGGGTAATATCTGACTCACCGGCACTCAGACTGATGTTGATTGAAGTGTGCAACCTTACTTCGGAACAGCCACTCTGAGTCATACATAAACATTGGAAGCAAAGAGTTAAAAGTGCAAAACTATGCCTTTTAGTATTTTTTTTAATGTAGGACTCATTTAACTGCTTCAGAATTTCAGCCATCTCAGCAGCTTTTCTTGATTATAAGCTCTTGCAGGCCAACACAGTATGGCCCGATGCTGTTGTTGATAGAAAGAAATAAAAGATGGAATTCATTGGAGATTTTGGGGGTGCCAAATGATATTAAAATATCACTGGGAACGGAAAATGGATTTTGGTAT